CTTCATCCAATTGACCTTTAACACTCTCGAATCTTCATCACAAGGTTAGAAACAAGTTAGAGTATTTGCACTTTAGTCCCTGAACTTTTGTTTTCCTCCATTTTGGTCATTTTTCACTTGTTTCTCCTTATTTCCACTACATTCATCACTTGCCCTGCAAAACATGAATTGTATAGAATTAAACTATATTCCAACATATTAATCAACAATTTCTCATGTTTTGACAGTAAAATAAATATGTAAAAATACACTTATCAAGTACGGAAGTGAGACAAGGTACCATATGCAACAGAATATCATGTATTTACTTAGCTGACGGGTAATTACCACACGAGCATTTTCATTATGCGACTTGGTATTGGTTGATAGTCATACACCGACTTCAGTGTGTCATCTTCGATGAGGCTATATGCTTGTTGCTGGAGACATTATATTGTTCAAAACATGGCAATTTTATGTCACAAATTGGTAGGAACATTTTCTTAAATTCCAATTTACATGCAGGTTAGCCTACTCAGAGAATGTTTTTCATTTGATGTCATAAGTTTTGTTCTAGGTAAATTGTATTACTATACTATTTTACTGATGTCATAATCTTTGCAGATTTTAAAATCTCGATATCAGGTGTGTTGTTCTTGTTTCTGTAAGCATTGTCACAGTATTTAATTCTATTAAAACATGCATTCGGTGGTAGTTCGGGATGAATTTTATTGAATTTTGACATGCAAGTTTGTAGTGCCTTATGATTTTCATTTTTTTTGGTATTTACTGTTAAATTGTAAATTGTACTGTTAAATTGTAAATTGAACTGTGTAAGTTAGTAAAGATATAGATGAAATTAAAGATAAGTATAATGAAGCAACAAATATCATTTAACAGAAAACAAATAATCAAATTTTTTATTTTCACCTTGAGATATGTTTGGTTTCAGTTTTCTTGCTGATTCAATTATTTATGGTACATTTAGTGTTTACATTTTGCAATTGTTACCAATTATGGTTTATTTGCAACTCAGACTTCCTCTTGATCATGTGGTTGATCTGTACTGTAAAATTTTAACCAAGCATTTGAACAAGCAGGAAGGATCCAGGCTATATATTGGGCAAAAGAAATGATATCAATCTGATTTATACTATTGATGATGCCTAAAGAGACTTGATAAAGAAAATTTGTCTTAAACATGAATTTATTGCTCTTTTATGAAATTTATTTTTTCAAATATACACCATCCTTCGTGATTATCACTGTTAATACTTAACTCAACAATGGAGCATGACCAATATAATGCATAAGGTCTTTGTCTTCTATTCTTATACAATTGCAACTTGAATTTTACATCAAAATAGTTTCTACCTATAACATACTTGAAGAAGCTATCATATTACTGTGTCAACTGAGGGCTCTACGGCTACCTGCCTGTCTTGAAATGGTTGGTCAATCATACCTCACATTACAAATTGCCCTCGAAACCAAAAATCTATTTCTCGAACCACAGTGTTGGTCATGTATGTGAACTTAATATGTACGAGTTCCCATGTGACCTTCATGCATCTTTCTTTCGCAATGGCTACGTATTTGAAATTCTGTGAAATGGAACAACTAGATAACTTATTCTCATAATAAACTGCATTATCTTTTCCCTTTATCCTTGCAGGATGTGGATTATGAGGTTTCCATTACCAAGAAAATATATTCTCATCGGCAGAATGGTGCAGTGGATTACTCCTGAAACGGCTCTCAACCATGAATGGCTTCATGAAGTTCATTTTCCCAATTTTAAAGAATTTATGCTTACTTTTCCCTCTCAGCATGCAAAAGACAGGAGTTGTGACCTTGTCAATATGAAATTCTTTATCATGAATATTTGAGACTCTTAGAGTGAATTTAAAGTTTCGAATGGGATTTCAGACATATGCAAAAAGTGTTGAAGAGTCCCAATCCCTTAGAAGAGAAATGGACAAAGGAATTGCTATAAAGAGAATTAGGCATTGGTGGTGGTTTATTTGGTATTTTTGACATTTATATATAATTTAAAATTTTAGTTCTTCCTTGTGTTCGAGTTGTCTTTTTCTTTCCATTGGATATGGATTTCAACTTATTCTTTGTGTTTCTTTTTCAGATGGAATGGATAATGTTAGAATATATACCTCGGCTCATTCTAGAGACTTCTATAGTTAGATAATTTATTAGTTTGTTAGTCTTTTAGTCTATAAATAGAGCACTTTGTATGCATTGTATTTCATTGGATTCTATTCCAATCTTCAACGTGAAATCATCATGTTGAATTTATCATTTTCTTTCTTGTTTTTAATATCATCATTTTCTTCAATTTCAGTTTTTGTTCACAATTTCTATCATTTTCTTTCTTGTTTTTAATCATCATCATACCTGCATTATAGTTGATCTAGGGGAATATTGAATATTGACCAGCGAAGAAAACTCCACCAAATTTTATGCCTAGACAGTTCATCTCCCTCTTTGGGTTATGTGCAAGGTTAAAAGTTCAAATTAATTTTTATGTTTTTTAAAATTTAAGACATTACTTTTGCTTTTGAGAATTCTCACAATTCTCAAGCATCCTCTATGTATATGGGTGTAGGATTTTCAAGATTTCAAACTTTTATGATTGTAGCTCGAAACAACTTAGATTCATAAATATTTGCTAAAAGCTTTGAAAGCATGAAGTTATTAAACTATACTTGTGACAGATTCTTCAAGACTTTTTGTATTATGAAACTATATATGCAGTTCCTTTGCTTCAACAGGAGAACATAAATTGACATTTGAAAATAATTGGCAGAATGAGATAGATGATTCTCGAAATCCAAGCAATCGTGGTATTGTGAAGGGTCCCGTCAGGGGGACGAGTCAAATTCCTTCATCATGGAAACTAGGAGCTATTCTTAATTGATGTTGTTGAAAAATGAGGGTTGTTGATGTTTGTCTTCTTTGCCTTTTCAATCAGAGCTCATCGAAGTTGCGAAAAAAGCCAGGGTGATTATGTCTTCCAATTAACTACTAAACTAATTGTACATAAATTTCTGTTTTTAGATTAGAGCTAGAATTTATGTTTTATTTGTCTGTTCATAACACGGCAGAAATAAGGACATTTTTTTTTGAAACTGTAAAATTCTAAATCTATTTGTTATTATATGTTCTGCAGGAATAAATATAGAAAGTTAACAGATATTTTAATTGGAAGAAAGTGCAATGGAAAGTTCAGAAATGGAAAAGGAATAAGAACAATGGCGAAAGAGCAGTTGGGTTCGGTTTCGGTAAAGCAGAATGCTTAGCTACAAAGGTATCACCCGTGTGAGTAAAGGGCGGAGTCAGAATTAATGGCCAGTAAATCGGCTAGACTCACACCAAGAGCCCTTTTAAAAATTAGAGCTATAAGAAAGGCCTGGGCCTTTCCCTTTTCATTGTTATTTTTATGGAAAAAAAATCAAACAAAAATTGAAACTGTCGGGTTGGGTTGGGTTGCCTGACTTGTTTGACAGCTTGATCACTGAATTTTAGGTAAATTTTGATGTTTGTTACTCGAATTGTAGATGCCATGACTTCCCACGCCAGTATGAAATTTGACAAGAACTAAGTAATGATTCTTGGACCTTGTCCGTGTTTAAGTTTTTGGTGTTCACCCAAGTAAACATGTCTTTATGTGATTTTTTTTTTCTTTCTAAAAAGCTATTTATATATCATTATTCAAGTTTATATATTTATGTAGCATTTATAAGATTGGTGCAAAGTTCAACACATAATGGTTTACGCTTGATTATTGAAGTTCATAAAGTTCATGTCGCTGACACAACTGACTTTGTGCATAGAGTAATTCACCATGTATGCATTCTTGTTGATTCATATGATTGGAGCAAAGTTTGAGCATATGATGTTTACACTTGATCGCTGACCTTCAAGTAAGTTTCACGTCGACAATTGCTGGTGCCTTGACTGTGCTACTAAGAAAATTAACCCACCTTTGATTTTGTGAAAGAAAGTTAAAGTTATCTTATATATAATTTTAGCTTCCTTATTTTAGGTTCTATTTTATTTTTTGAGTATTGATCATAGCTTTGTGCCATCGACGTTACACTAGCTTTAATTACACTCTTTGGGAATCTACTCACTTTGATAGCATTACAATATGAACTCAATGAGAGGGAATTCACTTTCTACTGGATTGACGCTAAATCTTCTGAAATTATTTGAGCCCCGACCCCCTTTGGAATATATATCGGTAAAAGATAAAAAAAAAAAAATGCTCCCATATACGGATATGTACTTTAAGCTTGCTAAAGTTTTCGCTAAGTTAGAATATGTGAACTTAACATATATTTATAGGATTTATTTTTGCGTGACAGGTATGGCACAGTTTGTATTTGCCATAAATATCATGTACCTTTACACATAAAAGGTTTATATAGACATGCTTCCTTGGTGAAGGTTTTCATTTCAATCTGTTGTCTTTACATATACAGGAAGAATGTCTATTTTAGGTTTAAGTACCTACACAAGTTGGATAAAACATGTATTATTTGTCTCTCTTTTTTTTCCTTGTAACTTGATTGTCCTTATTTCACATGTAGAAGCATTTCTTGTGCTACTTACTCTGTTAGAAAAATTTATAGTACATGAATATTACTTTGTGTCTATATCTTGAGGTTTAATCTCTGTCATCTAAAGTGACTTGGATGCCGCAACTCATGACTTCATGGTCTATAAATAATTGGCATGGACAAACTATATTTTTGGAAACTTTCTGGAAGAGTACTGTAAGTTGGCATATATGATTTATATCAGCAATATTGATGCAGTAATATTATTTTTAATTTCCTTTATTGTTTTGTTGGAAATTGAAGCTTATGCGTGACTAATGATATAGTGAGGCTTTTATCTTGTGAGATGAGAATTACTCTTATGCATTGTGGTAAACCTTATTGGGTTTTAGTTAGTAGACTATTGGTACCAAGGAAGGAGCATGCCCAATTTTTGAGAAGGTTTACGACTCTGGTACCCCCGCTTCATGTGGTTGATATAGATATCCCCTTAAATAATTTGGTTGCTGATGTACGAAAATTGGAGCAAGTTGTATTGGGGAGAGTTTCATTTGAGTTTAAGAAGAACTATTATGATTCGACTACATCAATGGGATTCCATGGCCAGTATGCTTCGCCAAAAGTTCCATTCCCAGAGGAGGTCATATTTCATAATATTCGAAACTTGATATTGTCTGGTTGCATTTTTTTTGGTGGTGGTTGTTTGAGCTTCATGATTTTTATAGATTAATGGTTGTTAAAATGGACAGGTATTGGATTGATTTCAATAAATGAGAAGTTTTAGTCAATGATGATTGTGCCAAAATATTTCTTTCAGTGTAAGTTATGTTTAACTGAATAACTATCGGTATAGTAAGTGCTTCTATCCTGTTTTTATTAGTGGTTTCAAAAAAACATTCTCTTAATTTCTTTGTACTCTTAAGATACTTCAAAACTGTATTTTATTAGTAAACTCACATGGAAATTTACCTTGTTAAATAGAGTTTATTTTGTTCATCTCATTCAACTAAAATATCGCCTATCAATCCTTAAAATTCAATACGCTAATATTAACATAAAAATAACACAGCCCGTGCATTGCACGGGCAGATGACTAGTAATGTGAAATTTTTGGATTTCTTTTTTACATCCAGTCAGTCTCTAACCCATACATAAGATGGACTAATCCCTTGAGAATAGGGGTGTCCACGAGCTGAGCCACGGGTCGAAACTCGAAGCTTGAGCAAAAATGGTACGGGCATTTTTTGACCTGAGCCGAGCTAAAGCTCGACAAAAAAATTGAGGCTCGACCCAGCTTTCAGCTCGGGCCTTAGCAAGCCAGGCCAAGCTTGAACCGAGCCGGCTCGTTATTATTATTTTTTTTTTATATAGGGCGTGTTCGGTAGATATTAAAATTGGATTAAAACTGAAAAATTAGTCGTTATTGTTGACTTTTATTAGACGAGTGTGACCTAATAACGACTATATTTTCAATTTTAATTGAATTTTATTCTTTACCAAACAAGCACATAGTATACATTTGCAAGCAGTAGAAGCCTGCTGCTGCAGGCAGCCGTGACAAGCTATTTTTATTTTTTTAAAAATTTATTTTTTTAAATGAAACTCGGCTTGTCCAGACCAAAGATAGCTCGTGACATGGGCAGGCTTGGGCTCGAGCTGATGCCCAAAAATGGGGTTCGGCCCGAGCCAAGAGCTGGCTCGACTCGGGCTGAGTCGGCGAGCCACTTTGACATTCCTACTTGAGTATGCATAGGCGGCATTTACCAAATAAATAAATAAATTCTTACAAAGCTAGCTTGTGTTGTTTAATATATTATTATTTTAATCAGGTTAATTTTTTTTTAATTTCAAATTTATTATTGTTATTCATTATTACAACTCGTGATACGTAATATTTTAGTATTTTAGGCCCCATTTGGTATTTCTTTTAGAGCCAAACTTTTTATTATCAAACATTATTTGCAGTTATTTAAGTGTTCGATAAGCTTAGAAAAAAATAATTATGATGACAACAGATTTTGAGAAATAGTAGGAGATAGCTTATGAGATTTTGCTTTTACCTTCTCTAACTATTCATCATTAAAATGTCAATTTTAACTCCCATGCATGAAAACAATTAATTCATTTTCCGTCGACCTAAGTTTGTTGGTATTCACTATTCAGAAACATTCTTCTATTTTCTTTTTTGGCCATTGACATATCAAATTTATTTTTAAAATTTATAAATTCTTCGATTTAATCTATATTCTTCTTTTCCTTTTAAATTTACTATTTAACATACTGTCTTAGATAAATACTTAGCTATTTAGTCAAAATCAAAATTTTAGTAGATTTTGATTAAAGTTAATGAAATATATGGAAGTAAAGTTGATGAAAATTTAAGTTCTATGAAATGCGAGGTTAAAGTTAATTGTTGACTTTAACTTCGATTTTTATCAACTCTTTTAGCTAAATCAAATAAGTGCTTAATAATATTATTATTATTATGTATTAATATGAGCATTAATAAACAATGTTCGATATAGTAAATGTATACATTAATAAAGCAATTTTTTTTTTTACCAAACATTCAAATGCTAATTTTGGAATATAGAGTAATTTTGAGATAAATCAAAAAATTTACCAAACAGTTAATTAACCCGTTGAGCACAGCTAAAGCTGGTTCCATTGAAATTTATAGCACTACCAAACTAAACCTTAGTGTGTTTTAGTAGTTTACAGTATTTTGAGATATACTTTTTTTATTTTTGTTACATGTTTCAAAAGCATTTGTCATTTTGCTCGAACTTAAATTTCTTTAATTATTTTGATATGGTCCTCTCTTGATTAATAAAGTAAATAAATCTTATAATTAATGGGGAATGAAGATTTTTAATCCATATTCTGGATTGTACCTTGTTATGCAGTTTCTAAACTTTGCGGTGTAAATATTTGGAAAATATCACTAAACAATACAAGTTGAAGTTGAAATGTGCATGTGGATAAGAGTTGAAATCTGACGTCCAATTTTCGTTGTGCACCCAATTAATGATTGACACATCATTTTAAGTTAATATGTCATCAATTTGGTGGTGAAGTTAATGAGGATAAATTTGAGTTGACATATTAATTTAAAAATGATATGTCAACAATTGATTGAATGGATTGAAGTTAATGAGGATAAATTTGAGGTGACATATTAATTTAAAAATGATATGTCAACAATTGATTGAATGGACAACAAATTAAACAACAAAAATTGAACAGTGGATCTCAACTCATATGGAGAATGCATCAAAATGGAAATCACAATTTGCTAGACTGATAATATCTTGATAGATATTTGTTGTAATTAGGGGTGGGCATGGGTCGGGTTGGGTCGGTTTTTGCCTTAATCCAAACTCAACCGAACATGAACGGTTTGATTAAAATTTAACCAGATCCATGCAAATGTTGAAACCCAACCCAATCAAGTATCAGTTTATGACAACTTATCAACAAAAATTAAAGTCGTTCAATTTTCTATTATACTCACATGATCGGTATAATTTTTTTGGATCAAGCTACATGTACCTAATTTTCTACATAATGGATTACCGAATCGACAAGTGGCCTCCTATTGGGGGGCACCTGTGGGCCCAGGCGCCCCCCCAATAGGGGGCTCCACTTGTTGATTCATTAAAAGATTATGTAGAAAATTATGTACAACAAGAATAATCCAATTTTTTTTTTGTACAAGGACTGCATAATCAAGCCACAAGAAATCTTGCTGAAAATACTAAATACATGTTACACCATAAAAAAAGAAGACAGAAGAAATCCAAATGTACCACCTCATTTACAAGAAATCCTGCTGTAAATACTAAATACATGTTAACCTTTTTTTCTTATATATAAATTTCATAATGAGATGCAGGAGTTTAAGGAGCTCAGAAATGCAATTCCAGATGCAAAGCTCACTGGAATCTCCATTGGTTGCAAAGACAGAATCAAAACTCTTTCAAAATTTTAACGTCAATTTAACGCATAAACACACATAATCACAACTCCATCAAATTAGATATGAAAATGAACAATTAGGAGAAAGACAGAATCAACAGAAAGGGAAATGGCAATACATTCAGAAGGACAACTTACCTGCCACTGATGACTTGGTCAGCGAACTCGCAGATTTGCTCTAACATATTTTCGATTTGCAGCTTCAAGAAAGCTTTTGGAGCGAGCTTAGGGTTCCTTAACCAATAGTGACCCACAATTCGCATTCCATCACTGCCTTTCCAGATTCACCTAATTCTTTATTTCATCTGCGCAAAATTTCAGCACACGAAATTTTCGAATCATGAAAAAATATTAAATGAATTTTAGATCCACAAAGAAAGCTAAAACTCAAAGATCTAACCTAACCTACTAATGAAATGGCAAAAAAATATAGAAATAGATAGATTAAAGTGAAAATAAAATTTACCAGTTGACTCTCGTTGATTAAGAAATGCCTTCTCTTCCTCAATGTTTCTCCTCAATTTTTTGCAATTTCAACCATGTCAGGCCATGCTAAATGTGAAGACTGGAGTGGAGAGAGTGGCGGAGAAAGCTTGAAGGCTGGAGTGGAGTCTGGAGAGGTGACATGCCTTTTGGCTTTTAGCCTTTAGCCTTTTAGGGTTTTGTTTTTAACGTGGTTTTGCCATTTTTTTTTTCATGTAATCGGGTCTGGTCGGGTCGTCAACCCGTAACCCGACCCGACTATCCAGCCCAAAACCCGAAACCCACTCAAAAAAGGCAAAAAATCGAGGTTTGGGTCGGGTCGGGCGGTTTACTGGGGTTGGTTTGAATTTTGCCCACTCCTAGTCGTAATGGCAGTTACTATCATTCACGACATTTATTTGTCATTTATGACAGTAAATGTGTCGTGAATGACAGTAAAAGGTCATTTTTAGTAGAATGGTCTAGTGTTCTATTAACATAGTCTTCTAATATTTTGTATATGTAAATTTTAGATGGAATGAAATTATATTGTACTGGAGCAACATGGCTTTGGGGAAAATAACCCAGCTATGCAACACAGCGTACTTACGAGTCTTGATGACTAGCTGAATTAAGTGGAACATATTTCTAACCTTTGATAACTGGTTCTTGGATGCTGGTTGTGTTACAAAACTAGTGGAGAGATTTTGCATTAGTTCTCATTCATTTTGGTCAGTGAACAACCTATAAATATTGTAAAGAGACTGAACGAGTTCAAAAAATTAGTTCATATTTCTAGAATTGTGAAAGATAGGCAAACGATCTCGATTTATTCATTCATAGTTTTTCTATGTTGTTTACTATGGTGAAACCACTTAATATATATGATGTCAACTTTTTATCACTCAAAATTAATATATGATCTTTAAAAGAGTTATTAATAACAAATAATATTGTCATGAAATGTGAAAACTACAAAAACGTGCACATATTAATCGTAATGACTCCATTGTCGTATTAGTACTAATATAATTATAACCACGTCGTTACAACTCAAAATGCTTGCAAATGCTTATTTGACCAATGCACTTAGAAAATATTGTAAAACGAAACTCAATAAGTTCGAAAAATGAATTTGCACTCCTTGGATAGAGAAAGATAGACAGATGATCTTAATTCATTTATTGATTATTGTTTACATGTAGTTTACTGTAGTGAAACCACTTAATATACATAATGTCAATCTTTTTCATCATACCAAATTAATGTATGATCATTATAAATGCTAGTTATAGCAAATAATATTGTCTCGAGACGTGAAAAGTGAAAAACATACAAGTGATGATTGTAACGTTTCCATTGTCTTTTCAATACTACAACAACGACATGAGCGCTGTTATGACTCAAAATGCTTGCAAAGGCTAGTTGACCAATTCACACACAGGAATGTTGTAAAGAGACTCGATAAGTTTGAAAACTAAGTTCATACTCCTAGAATGGTGAGAGATAGGCAAACAATCTTGACTCATTCATCAGTAGTTGTTTGCTACAGTAAAACCACTTAATATATATATTGTCTACCTATCGATCATATCATATCATGATCTTCAAAAATGTTACTAATATCAAATAACGTTTTTTTCTCGAGACATGAAAAGTATAAAATATGCGATAATGATCACAGCAACTGCATTGTCCTTTTAGTATGCTGATATTGACATATGAGTCATTAAAGCTCAAAATACCTGCGAAGGCTTATTGACCAATGTATACACAAAAATGTTGTAAAGAGACTATAAATTCAAAAGTGAGTTCACACTACTAGAATGGTGAAAGATATTCAATTGATTAATAGTTATCATGTCATGTACTTTAGTTAAACTACTTAATGTACATAGTTGAACTTTTACATCATTCTAAAATAACCTATGAATGTTAAATATATAATATTGTCTTGAGACATGAAAGTACGAAATGTACGTGTAATGATCGTAACAACTGCATCGTCATTTCAGAATCACGATAGACTACCAAGTCGTTACAACTCAAAATACTTGAAAAGACCTATTTGGCCAATGCCCATGCCTATAAATATTACAAAGAGTTTGAAAAGTGAGTTCACACTCCTAGAAATGACGAAAGATAGGAAATGATCTCAATTCAGTCATTTGTTTCTATGTTGTTTACTATAGTGAAATCCTTAATGTGCATAATGTTAACATTTACATACTACCAGATTAACGTATGATCATTAAATATGTTATTTATAGTAAATAATGTTTTCTAGTGACATGAAAAGTCCAAAATGTGCATGTATTAATTGTAACAACTATATTATCATTTTAGTATTATAATAATGGTCATTACATCATTACGGCTCAAAACTATTGCATAGGATTATTTGAGCAATACACGTACCTATAAATATTGTAAAGAGACTCAATTAGTTTGAAAAGTCAGCTCACACTCCTAGATATGGTGAAAGATAGGCAAATGATCTTGATTCATTCATTAACACTTGTTTTGTGTTCTTCACTATAGTGAAACCACTTGATGTACCTAATGTCAACCTTTTCATCATACCAAATTAACTTATGATTGTTAAAAACGTCATTTATAGCCAATAATACCATCTAGAGGCATAAAGTGTAAAATGTGCACGTAATGATTGTAACAACTCCGTTGTTGTTTCAATACTGCAACAATGAATTCGTGTTGTAAGGTTCAAAATGTTTTTCTAAAGCTTGTTTGATGAATGCATATACCTAAAAATTTGTAAGGGACTCAATGAGTTCAAAACGTGAGTTCATACTCCTAGATCGGTGAAAGATAGGCAGACAATCTTGGTTCATTAATTGGTTGTTTAACGTAGTAAAACTACTTAATATACATAAAAATGTAAAATGTATAGGAAATGATCGTAATGATTCCATTGTGATTTCAGTATTAAGATAACGACGCTCATGACATTACCGCTCATAACGCTTACAAAGCTTGTTAACGATAATTTTCTCATTTTCATCGCACATTCAATACATTATCCAGAAACACATTTTTCAAAAGGTACTATCATACAATGCAATCTAGCCAACAAGAATATTCGACAAAAAGTAATATTGTATTCAAAACTATCTCAAAAATAAACTTCTTTCGTAGCGTCATTATATTCTTTAAATAATATTAACAAGTAATTAACTGATCATAAAATTAATACTCATTCAAGACCTTACATTCTTTAGCAAACTATTTTGAAATTAGATTTCACTACCTTCATATTATAGAAAGACCTAAACCACTACGTCTCAACAAAATTCTATGGTAGTGAATTGACAAATCCTAATTTATTTACTTTTTTCTTCATACTTCCCCCAAAACTTGCGACTTTTCAATAACCATGTAAACGAGTCGAATCGAGTCGGCTCACGAGCCAAGGCTCGCTGCTCTAGCGGCTTGTGCACGACACGTGCAAAAATGGTTCGAACTTTTTTGGCTTAGGCCAAATCTCGGATGAAAAATCGAGGCTTACCTTGAGCTTTAGGCCCTAGCCTTACCGAGCCCAAGTTGGGCCGAATCGAACCGGTTCGATTTTTTTTTTTCATGAAATTCTAAATTCTTTTTAATAATATAAATTTTGTGCAATTTATACTAATTAAAAATTTTAAAAAGTTACAACACTCCTTTTTTATCAAGCAAAAAATGGCTTGTCACACGAACCAACACGACTAAGGTTTGGGCCGTTTTCCAAAAATGAAGCTCAGCCCAAGCCTTGACTTGGTGGACATGAGCCATGAGCTGACTAGACTTGGAACTTTTTTCTAGTAGAGTCATGAGGCGCATGAGCTGAATTGATATTGATATTTGTACTTTTCAAACTTAGACAAACATGCACAACAAGAAAAAAATAAAAATGTACAACTATTTGAAAACAAAGCAAAATAAAATGGCAGGCTAAACAAATTCTATCTTCAATCTTGCTCTATGTACATCTTTCTTTATACTTTGATTTACCTAATTTGTACTTGACAAAATCTCACACCACCATTCACACATTTAATCCAACCATCATCCATCTGCCACATCATTCATCTGTAAACCAAGTGATAAAGGAAGTGGTACAAATGGCTTAACGCATTCTATCTTTCATCATTCAATTGAAATCCTCTCTTCAGAGATCCATAAATTTGCAGGCAGAATATAAATTTCTCACATAAATGCAGATGCAGAGCGAAGGAGAGAACAATGTACGAACTCGAATGGTAGAATTCCAATTACAGTTTTGCTATTTGTACGCCCCTCACGGTCACGTCCAATAAACAATTCGGGGTCCCTATCGTCAGGGGCTGTACCGGTGTACCTATAGGAAAACATTTTCGATTAATATGCGAGAGAAAAATCCCCATTTGGCTGCAGGGGATCGATTCCGCCGTTATCTCCAATCGAAATCTCTTTGATTCGGCCAAGTCCAAAGCCCAACAAGCCATTCATCTTCAAGGAGAATTTTTTAATCACATATTTAAAACTTACAAATTTTTGGTTGTATTTGGGGTGTAATTACTTCTTTAGGGTTTATATACGTCTTGCTTAATTGATAAAGAATATTGCTTTTATTAACTAGAAGTAGTTGCTATATTAGGAATTCTTTAGGTTGTGGGATCTACTTATTTTGTTGATTACGTGAAAGTTCTGATTTTTTTTCCTTAATTTTGTTATTGTACTCTATCAGAAAGATTGGGGAAGCTTAAAACTGAGTTAAGAGAAGCTAAGGATGCTTTGGTGAAAGCTCTTGCCGATACTCTCTTTCTCTTTCTCTCTGTGTGTGTGTGTGTGTGTGTGTGTGTGTGTTTGGCTGTGCACAAGTTCTAGTGTCCTTTTCGTTGCATATTTATATAACTGTCAAAATTGTTGGTTTTTCGGCAACATATTTAGAAGAAAAAGAAAACATTTTTGTGTTTAACTGTGTTAGGTTTATATTTTATATTGACGATTTTGTGAACAAATTGACCAACTTGAACATTTATACAAGTTTAGGGACTAAATTGTAAAGTTCCATAGTTTGTAGGTTAGATTAGGGTTTGGGGTTTTATGTTTGGAACAAGAAGGATTAACGCCGAGTTTTTGCTAGAGAATACATCCTACATCATATCAAAATTTCAATCATTCAATTCATATGTGCTTTTTTTCATAGAAAACATCAAAGCCATCAAATCAAACACTGAATTTGTTTCTTCGCTTGGGTCTGCTGCAAGTTTGTGTCATCAACTGTACTGCATTA